TATATATATATATATAAAATTTTAATGGAGGTTTCCTTTGAAATCTGTAAGTGAGTAAACTTTTTATATTCTTCTGTTGAGGTATTAATTACTAAAATAGCTTTCAGGTTTTTCCTGGTTTTAAACACTATGTTAAAGGAGAGAATGTGTAATACCCTCAATACCTCTTGCAACTCAACAGCAAGAAACATTCACTTTTTATGAAATATTTACTCTAAACAAGTTTGATATATGTTTTCCCTCAATTTATTAATACAGATCTCTGATGGCATACATTGCAGAAATTTATTTCAGGGCATGGAAGAAGTCTTCAGGAGAGATCTTAGAGGTACTTACTCTACTTTGAACTTGCTATTAAAATTAGTTCATCTAAAGATTCTTTGAAATTGATCCAGCTACAAGATTAAGGAATTGTTTTCCTTTTGATAATTGTATAGCTCTATACCCAACTTTATACAAAGTTACTCCCTTCAGCTTTGGCCTCTAGGTCTGGTGCTTTATTTGGGAGAGCAGTTTTCTACAAATACTCCTCTGACCCATCTCCTGGGTACCACTTCTGCTTAATCTCCTGTCTTTAGAAGTAATACTGGAAGGAGAAAAGATGATTAATTCACTGTTTGTTATTCTTTGATCTAATTGCCCATTCAAATTCAGATAGCATGTCCATTTTCTCTATTTTCTCAATCTTTTGTGTAATAGTCCTAATTTAGTGGAAAGAATTGAAGGCCATGCCCCCTTTATGCTGGGGAGTTATATCTGCATGTGCATAGCAGGGATATGAACAGGTAACCAATTAACCGCTTCCACAGTAAGCATTGCCCTTAAGAGGTGATGCTTACTAGGTAACTCTTAATTGTTACCCGGGAGCAATCCATAGTCTGCCGCTGGCAGAGGGCTGATGGGTCCCAGCCCATGTGGGGTGCAGAGGGGAGTGGAAATGGTAGAGTTGGGGGGAGGGGCAGGGTGGCTGCCAGCTCCCAGCCTGCGCAAGCCTGCTGATTCCCAGCCCATGAGCTCCTATGGGCTGGCAGCCAACAGCGCTCCCCCCGTCCCCCATCCGTGGGGTGGGAGCCTGCAGTACTGGAGCATCCACTGCACACAGTGCAAAGGTCACTCCAGCCCGGGTGAGGGGTGCCCTCCACACCAGTAGGTTGGAACTTCTGCCTGCCTGCCCCCCATTAAATCAGTTAACCATTAAATTTAACATTTAACCTGTTAACTAATTAAATGGGATTTTACTTACCTAGTACATGGTAGGGATGTTAAATTTAGATTAATAGGGATTTCCATCAACTATTTGATAAGTCTCTAAGGGTGCCTCCACTTTTGAACTGTAGCAAGAACCCTACGGGGCTCCTCCGCTGGCCTTATGCTCCCTGCGGCACCTGAGCTCACAGTAGGGTAGCTCTCAATCCCGCCTCTTCAGCCTCAGGTCCCACCCATCCCTCTTGCTGGATTTTGGAGCTTTCCTCCGCACCATCTTGCCCAGGAACACAGCAGAAAAAATCTTGTTTGGGCTGGTTAATGGTTTTATGTATGAGTGTCTTTTAATGACTTAATAAACCACATGCATATACCATTCATTTCACTAAATAAATATTCTAATTGAAAAAAATAATTTGTGTTCTAAAGTGCTCCTGTGTTTCAAGGAGTTTCAAAAAGTTAATCATTGGATATTTTAGCAGCTTCCTTCAAGAAGTAGCTTTAAATGCCTAATAACCTATCTCTTTACAACTGGTTTTGATAAAAATATCTAGATGCCATTTTATAGTCAAATGCGAGAATCTTTTGTAACTCATAAAACCTAACTGAATATGCTTAGAGTGGATGAGAGGGACTTAGATACTGTTTCATGGATCATAGGTCTGGAAGGGACCTCAAAGTCATTCAGTTTCGTCCCCTGCACTCACGGCAGGTCTGAGTATTAATTTTCAGTGCCTTATACCTTTGCATGAAAGTGATGTGTGCTCTACAAAACTAAAATGATCAATTATTCACTTGAAAATGTTACATTAGTGACACACGCAATTTTCTTCCTCCTCCCTTTGGGCTTTTCTATAACATCTCTTAATACAATCTGTGGCACAGTTGTTTCTGGAATAGTAGTACTTAAGGGGGGGGATAAAACATGTGACCTTCCGCCTGAGGCCCCGCCCCTTTCGCCCAAGGCAAAATTTCAGAAGCCTCTTCTGACTAAAGAATCGGAGAAAGGTAGCGCAATTTGCGTATCTTTTGCCGAAAAAAAGTGGTAGTCTAGACATAGCCTCAGAAATCTTGATTCCAAGTTCTGAGCATAGGTATACTCTTAAATCCATTTTTCAAACTCTGTTCACTCCAGACATTCCTTGACCTCTTGTTCAGGTCTCAGTGTCTCCCTCTATCTTCCTCCTCCCTACACTCACATTGCTATTCCTTTTCTTATTTCTTATTGCTTGGGCACCAGCAGGGGGAAGAGCCATGTTCTCTTTTCCTGTGCTAAGCACCCTGACACAGCCTTTGACGGATGAAAGAACAATCACAGGGAAAGTTAACTGATCTCTGTAGTCCTGAGTTTGATCATGTAAATATGGAAAAAAATAGCTCAAAGTTTTTGCTTTTATTTTATTTCATTTTTCCTGTGAATTTCAGCATTTATTACTACAATCACAAAAAACAAGTAAATGTCAATGGGGAAAAATATTCAGTTTTTTTCTGAGTAAATATCGGGGTTTGTTTTGGTGGAAAGACAGATAGGTGAACCTTTTAATCAGTAGAAGAATGCTTTGATTAATGGAATTCAACGTGATTTCCAGCAAAACTGACATAGAACTCAAATCATAATGTCCTCTCTGAGTTTAAGAAAATACATCTCTAATTCCTAAATAAAATTATTCATCTGAATAAATAGTTTACTTTTACAGACTTACCGGTAGACCTATTATCTTATAAATATTTACATTTAATGTGTGGGCTACACTGTTTGCAGCACATACTCAACTTCATCCTTTGCTCCTATTTTTTTTAATGTTGGATACTTTGTATTCTGAAATTTTTGTTTTGTTCCCATTTTAGTGTGTCAGATCTTTAAAACATTAACTGCAAACAGCGTGAAATAGGTTTGAGATTAATCTGTATGTTCAGACGCTCATACAGAGCTTACATGTGTGCCTGCTTTTGTGTATCTTCTAGTCTAATACATACCCTGTTTAAACAGGCAGCTTTGATGTATTATCGTAATACATATATCTCATGTAACATCTTGTATTTTCCTAATAAAACAAGCTTTTAAATTTATTTGAATGATATAAAAGGAAGATAAAAATTTTAAAAAGAATAATACTTTTGTTAAATATGGATTTTTTTCTATTAACATCTGTTTAAACCAAAAATGAAAGAGCTTCGGTATAAGCAACTGAAAGCAGTATTAAAATATACAGTATCAAACATTAAGTAAAATCACTATCTGTGCTGCCTATAATCTGTAGTTTGTAATGCATTTTTTTACTTTAGATTCTTGAGGTAAATTGCATTCAGGATTTCATGCATCATGGAATTCATCTTCCTCGAAGTTCTCCAGTGCATCCTAAAGTGAGAGAGGTATGTTACTATAAAACATGACATTAAGTACTAGCAAATTATATTTTGTAAAGTCATTTTCAATATCTAATTACAGTAGTATGAGAATTCTCTATTTTTACACTATTCTTAATACAGATATAGTTATTTGATTCTGAAAGTCTACTAATTAGGTTTTGCTAACTTGAACAAGTTATGGGGCTCACTCATACAAATTTAGCTTGGGTTCAAGATAAAAAAGAAGGATTATACACAACTTAATATACATTTGTTCAATTCCATATTAAACTAAAATCTGTTTTAAAAGTTTTTACACACTTTCCTGCATTATTTTGAAACTAAGTATTGTGTCTTATGTAAAAGCATAGTGACCTCGACTAGAAAGTAAGACACACTGCTACTTTATTTGATGAGTGAAATGAAAAGGTAGATAATAGAGATAGTGGAAAATTAGATTCTAACGTTCATTATTCGGTAATCTTTCATGGGAAAGATTTTTTTTCTCTCGTGACTTTATTGTCCCCTGTTTTTAAAATTGCATTGTTAGGTGTGCCCATCACATGTAAATTGTTTTTAAGAAGTCAGCTTTAAAAACCATTAGTTCCCAGCTGAATGCCAATACAGCTTTTTAGAGGTATAGTTACGTGCTGCTGTTCTTAAGGGAATTTTTTACCTCTTGTTGTGCAGACATAGCCTATTTTATTGCCATAGGTTGTCATGGTGTCTGGCAGCCCATGCTCTTCATGTCTGTTCATTGTGCTAGTAAAAACTGCTTCTTGAAGAGGATTCATATTTCCCAAATCAGCTCTTGCTTCTCATTCACAACTAAGTTTATATTGTGGGACAGTGTTGTAGTCATGAAAATAGATCCTTCTTTGAAATTACAGGGAGACCACTCCCTCCTTCTAGCAGTTGTGAATTGAAGTTCTGTGCATGGCAACTTAATAAGAACTCCATTCCTGAGAGAGCTAACCACTCATGGTCAGTTCAGTGTGGTGTGGGTGTTTGTGTTTTTGGGGAGGAGTAGCAGGGGGAATTCAATAGGGTAATGCTTTGGAAAAGCCCAGCTGCTAGACTTTTACCACCTTCCTCTAACGCGGGGATGGGCAAGATACATCTTGCAGGCTGGATCCAGCATGCCAAGCTCTTTGATCTGGCCCATGGCCTGCCCTACCACACTCCTGCCCCCAAGCCATTTGAGATGAAAAACCATCACATGCTTCTTCATGAGGCATCCTTGGGGGTGCTCCACATTAGGTGCTGAGCGTTGCAGCACCTCTCGACGGATTTTTCTCTAGCAGTGCATTGGGGGCTGCTCATATGTGGTGCACACAGGCCTCCTGCGGGACCACTAGTGGGAACTCGATTATACAGCCCTCAACAACATATTCAGCCGATGGGGCTTCCCATACATAGACCTATTCGCCACCAGAGCCAACAAAAATGCCTAATGTATTGCTCCAGGGAAGGCATGCAGAAACAGTCCCTCAGGGATGCTCTCATTCTAACATGGAACTCACCCCTTGATTATGCCTTCCCCCCATTTCCCCTCCTCAACAGAGTCCTGATAAAGACACTGAGGGACAAAGCAAAAATCATCCTCCTTGCACCTTGTTGGCCTCACCAACTGTGGTTTCCCCTCCTACACAGGATGGCATGACATCACCCAATCACGTTTCTAAGCAATCCAAACATTCTATACCAACCGGGAATCACGTTTCCTCACCCTCAGTTCCCGACACTCCATCTCAAGGTGTGGTACCTTGATGGTTCACGGGCATAGAACTTTGTTGCCAGCAGGTGAGTGATGTTCTATTACAAAGCAGGGCTTCTGCAACAAGAAAAACATACATTAATAAATGGACCTGATTCACTCACTGGGCGACCTCCCGTAATATACCACCACAAGATGTACCACTCCCTGCAATTTTAGAATATTTGCTACACCTCAAACAATCACAGCTCTCTCTCAGTTGCATCAGAGTACACTTGGCAGCGATTACGACCTTCTATGTACCAGTGGAGGACACCACAGTGTTCGCACACCTGATAACCAAGCGATTTCTAAAAAGTCTACAGGCTCTATACCCAGATGCTGCAGTCCCTTGAGAACCATGGGACTTGCACATAGTATTAACAACATTCACAAAGCCACCATTTGAACCTATGGCTACATACTCTCTAACTCATTTAACATCAAAGACGGCTTTCTTGGTGGCAATAACCTCAGCTCATAGAGTGAGCGAGATGGCAGCCCTCATGGCTAAATCAACCTTTACTATCTTTTTCCAAAGACAAAGTCTCCATGCGACCACATCCTAAGTTTTTATCTAAGGTGCACTCCTCTTTCCACTTAAATCAAACGATATACTTACCAGTATTCTTTCCAAAGCCTCATGCTAATGCTTTTGAAGCACAGGTGCACACCCTAGATGTCAGAAAGGCACTTTCCTTCTATATCCATAGAACTAAACCTTTCACATCGTCTCCACAACTCTTCATCTCCATTGCAGATCACAGCAAGGGAAAACAAATATTGTCACAGAGATTATCACATTGGATTTCAGAATGCATTGCTACATGCTATTTGCTAAATGACTTCCCTCCGCCGGTTCCA